AAGTAAAGCCACATTTGGGCCAAAAGATTGAAAATGGAAAAGTGCCAGGAAGATTATTGAGCAGAGGAACCTGGAAAAAATAACTTACACTAAAAAACCAAGAAAGTTCTCAAATCAATAATGTGCTTCTACTTTTAAAAAGCTAAAAATAAAATGAAAGCCAAACAAGCCCAAAGCAAGCACAAGAAATCAAGTCAACAAAAATTAAAACAAAAATCAATTAAACTGAAAATAGAAAAACAATAGAGAATATCACTAAACCAAAAGTTGAATCTTTAAAAATAGTAAAACCTTGGCAAATCTCTAGCAAGAAAGAAGACAGAATAAGAAAGCAAGAGACCAATACTTTACAAGAACATAGACATACAACAAATCATTTATAAAATATTAGAGAATTGAATCTAGTAATATTTTAACAAATAATAAGTATCATGACCAAATGGGATTTCAAAAGAAAAAAAACACATTGTCAGTCAATTGACGAATAAAAAGCATTTGATGGTACCTTACATCGATTCATGATAAGAACTATCAGCAAACTAGGAATAAAAGGGAACTTTCTTAACTTGATGAAAGGTGTCTATGAAAAAGCTACAGGTCTCATCATCATTATCATAATAATGATGAAAGATTGAGATTGCAAAGAAATCAAGGAAATGCCCTGAGCCACCATGTCCACTCAACATTGCACTAGAAACACTACCCAGTGCAATAAAGCATGAAAATGACACAGAAACCATGCTGATTGGAAAGGAGGAAATAAAATGGTTTTGATTTAACTTCAGAAAATTGCCCACATGAGAAATTCCATTGACTCTAATAAAACCAATAAGGGAGTTGAACAGCCTTAGATGGGTAAATGAATAATCAAAATGTGTACATCCACACAGTGGAATACACCTCAGCAATAAAAAGAGTGTACTGTCGATATATGCAACAACTGGGATGAATCTCAAGGCACTATGCTTAGTGAAGGAAGCTAACCTCAAAAGTTTACACATTTTGTGATTCCACTTCTACAATGTTACCAAAGACAAAGCTGTGGTGATGGAGTGTCAGAACCCGCTGACAATCCGTAACTCCTGGTACAGCAGAGATGCATAAAGAAAGACACACGCACACGCACACATCCAGTAGAGAATAAGCAGCAGGTTTATTTTTTCCTTCCTTCTTTTATACAGCAAAAATGAAACACATCTTTCCGGCAGCTTAATCTTATCAAGCATGGATAAACATTCTCAGAGTAACTTTGTTCATGGTCACAGTGCTCCATATTTCTTATTACCTGAGTTGTAGTTAGTTAATTTCCGGGCAATCACATATCTATATCTATATAGATTTTAAACTTGGCAGAACATTTTTTTCTCCCGTCTCCTCAAGACTGCAACAAGGACACAACTCAAAGAGTTCATACGTTTCTCACAGAACTCCTTGTTTTGCTAAGCACAGCAAAACTTCACTGTTTGTGTGCATGAGCACACAATGGAGAAAGGATCAGCAGTTGCCAAGGGGTATAATACAAAATAATAAGGGGGTATAATACACAAGCAGTTTCAGGGGGCAATGGAACTATTATTCTGTATGCTGATTTTTATCATTACATCAATCTATACATATATTGGAATTCAAAGAAACTAGGACTTTCATCTAAAATATACAAAGACCTCTTGAAACTCGACAATAAGAACATGAATAATGTGATTTTTAAATGGATGAAAGATTTGAACAGACACCTCCTAAGGAAGACATACAAATGGCACATAAGCATATAAAAGAAGTCAACAACATACATCATTAAAGGATTGTAAATTAAAACGGCAATAAAATACCACTACAAACCTATTAGAATTTTATACTGTTAATTTAAATTGTATGTGATACATTATATCATTATATTCTATACAATATATTGCATAAAAATGTACCTATAAAATAAATTATATATATTCTAGCTTCCTGTCTTCAGAAATATACCTATATAATTACAAAATTAAAAATATGTAGGGCTGGGGATGTGGCTCAAGCGGTAACGCGCTCTCCTGGCATGAGTGCGGCCCGGGTTCGATCCTCAGCACCACATACAAACAAAGATGTTGTGTCCACCGAAAACTGAAAAATAAATATTAAAAATTAAAAAAAAATACGTGTAAAGTTTGATATGACTAAAACTCAGTAAAAATAATTTAAAAAACTAAATAAACCCTCTACCTTCAATTATTTCTGAATGAATTCTAAAAAATCACTAATTTGCAGGTCCCGCAGCTGGGCAATACAGTGTTAATCTCCAGCCAGCTTTGCAGTAGATGGCACCGCTGGTTTGTGGGTTATGATGATCCTGTTGTCTAGGTTTTTCTTTAGGGACCTGAAAGAGGTCCCTACAAAAAATGACTCTTTGCTTGGTCACACTGATGTCCAAAGGATGACAGGAATGAGTTGAAGATGCTTGGCATCTTCTCAGCAGCACATGGATCCTTCTCTGAAATAGACTGTATATTATGCAACAAAGCAAGTCTAGCAAATACAAAAAATAGAGATACTATACTGTATATCTATCAGATCATAATAGAATGAAATAAGAAATCAATGATAAAATAAAAGAAGATAATCCAACACCTAGAGACTAAATAATATGATATTGGATGAACAATGGCTAGCAAAAGACATCAGAGAGAGATAAAAATAAATCCTTAGAGGTAGATGAAAACATTGATACAACATATCAAAATCTCTGGGACACTATGAAGGCAGTGCTAAGAGGAAGTTCATTGCATTAAGATCATTCAATGAGGGGCTGGGATTGTGGTTCAGTGGTAAAGCACTTGCCTAGCACATGTGAGGCTCTGGGTTTGATCCTCAGCACCACATAAAAATAACATAAAGGTCATTGTGTCCACCTACAACTAAAATAAATATTTTCTTTAAAAAAAAAAGATCGTTCAATGAATCCGCTAAAAGAGAAATTAGGAAAACTACTCCATCCAAAATAGCCCTCCCAAAAAGATAAAATACTTGGGAATCAATCTAACAAAAGAGGTGAAAGACCTCTCCAATGAAGACTACAGAACACTAAAGAAAGAAATTGAAGAAGGCCTTAGAAGATGGAAAGACCTCTCATACTCTTGGATAGGAAGAATTAATATTGTCAAAATGGTCATCCTACCCAAACTGTTATACAGATTTAATGCAATTCCTATTAAAATCCCAATGAAATTCTTCATAAACTAAAAAAAGCAATCATGAAATTCATTTGGAAAAATAAGAGACTCAGAATAGCCCAAGCAATCCTTAGCAAGAAAAGGATTGAAGCAGGAAGTATCACAATATCAGACTTAAACTATACTACAAAGCAATGGTAACAAAATGACATGGTACTGGAACCAAAATAGATATATTTTGTACCAATGGTACAAAAATAGAAGACACAGAGACAAACCCACATAAATACAGTTACCTCTTACTAGAAAAATGTGCCAAGAGCATACACTAGAGAAAAGATGGTGCTGAGAAAACTACAAATCCATATGCAGCAAAATGAAATTGAATCCCTGTCTTTCACCATGCACAAAACTCAACTCAAAGTGGATCAAGAACCTGGTAATTAGACCAGAGACCCTGTGCCTAATAGAAGAAAAAGTAAACTCAAATCTTCACTATGTTGGCCTAGGATCTGACTTCCTTAACAAGACTCCTAAAGCACAAGAAATAATATCAAGAGTCAATAAATGAGATGGATTCGAACTAAAAAGCTTCTTCTCAGCAAAAGAAATAATTGATGATGTGAAGAGAGAGCCTACAAAGTGGGAGAAAATGTTTACCACACACACATCAGATAGAGCACTAATCTCCAGGATATATAAAGAACTCAAAAAACCTAGGGCCAAATAAAACAAATAATCCAAATCAATAAATGGGCTAAGGAATTGAAAAGTCACTTCTCAGAAAAAGATATACGAGTGACCAACAAATATACAAACTGTTCAACATCTACAGTAATTAGGAAATGCAAATAAAAACTACTCTTAAGATTTCATCTCACTCTAGTCAGAATGGCAGTTATCAAGAATACAAGCAATAATAAGTGTTAGTGAGATGTAGGAAAAAAGGTACTCTCATACATTGCTGGTGGGACTGCAAATTGTTGCAACCACTTTATAAAGCAGTATGGAGATTTCTCAGAAAACTTGGAATGGTACCACCATTTAACCCAGCTATTCAACTCCTCAGTCTATACCCAAAGGACTTAAAATCAGCATACCATAGTGATGCAGCCACATCAATGATTATAGCAGCTCAATTCACAATAGCTAAACTGTGGAAACAAACTAGATGCCAATCAATAGATGAATGGATAAAGAAACTGTGGTGTATATACACACTGGAATATTACCCAGCATTAAAAGACAATAAAATTATGACATTTGCAGGTAAATGGAGTTAGAGTAAGTGAAATAAGACAATCCCCAAAGCCCAAAGGCCTAATGTTTTCTTTGATAAGTGGATACTGATCCATATTTGGAGAAGGGACATGGGAAGAATGGAAGAACTTTGGATTGGGCAAAAGGGAGGGGGCATGGGACAAGAAAGATAGTGGAATGAGATGGACACCAGTACCATCTGGTAATTATGGGTACATATATGATTGCATGAATGGCACAACTCTACATTGTGTACATCCAGAGAATTGAAATGTTGTGCTCTATTTGTTTACAATGAATTGAAATGCATTCTGCTGTCATGTATAACTAAGTAGAACAAATTAAAAAATGGAAAAAATATTTAAAAAATAGATATGAGGTGTCTTCCAAAGTTCATGTGTGAGACAATGCAGGAATATTTAGAGGTGAAATGAAAAGACTAGGAGAGCTATAATCTAATAGCCAATGAACCTGCTGATATGGATTAACTGGGTGGTAACTGTAGGCAGGTAGGGCATTGCCAGAGGAAGCAGGTCACTGGGGGTGTGGCCTTGGGGTTTATATTTTGTCCCTGGTGAGTGGAGCTCTCTCTTTCTGCTTATTGCTGCCCTGTACTGAGCCCTTTCTTCTGCCATGGCCTTCTGTCCTACTCAGACCCTGAAGAGTGGAGTCAGCCAGCCATCTTCCGGACCTCTGAATTGTGAGTCAAAATAAATTTTTCCTAGTTTACATTGTTTTTATCAGGTCTTTGGGTCACAGCAATGAAAAAGGTGACTAAAACAGAAATAGAAAGAGGTAGCACCTAAATTCCTGGGTTTTTTTGTCTACTCCCAGAAAAGACATAAAACTTTCCTCCCCTTCAGAGCCTCCCTCCAACACCCACCCCCCCTTCCCAAGAGCACCCTTGTCAAACATCAATTGACAATAAATGGAGTGTTTATTTCTGAACTCTAGCCTACCTTTCTCCCTCGGTATTCCTACCCTATACCTGTGATCCTTCAACTCCCTGGAGATGAGAGGCTAATTTGTGACCTCCCTCCTCTCCATTCTTTGCATACTTGAATAGAGCCTTTCTTTCTCCTCAACACTCATCTCTCCGCCTGCTTTTTCTCTGAATCTGGATATGGAGAAAATACTAGTGCTTAAGGAGGCTTCCCACACTTTCAGTTCAAGGTCTTCCAGTTTGTGAACTATCTGGGGTTTGGTTTGGGTTTGTGTGTATAAAATAAACTTTTAGCAAATTTCTAGCTTTAATCTAAATTTTATTTTTGACCAAAGAGAGAAAAAGATGGGCAAAGCCTTTACAGAAAGTAGGTGAAGGAAGATATTAGAGAAACCTAGTATAATGCCCATGGAGTGTTTCAGGCTCTGTTGAGGTTGTTAATCATTAATTTGTATGAAATCAGCCTGTCTAATCTGTGCTCTTTGGTTTTTTCCTTTTGTAGTTTTTTCTTTCATTTTCAGTTTTTTTTCTTTACAATGGTAGTTATAAAACTTACCCAATAATGCTGCTTTGTTGAACTTAGTACTGCCAGTGGGTTTCTTTCCTAGATAATCTGACTTGATTCCTGCTCAGGGCTCCTTCCAACTTCCTTTTTGTTTTCTTCTGTAACTCAGATGAACTCATTTCTCCCAATCCTGAATCCCTGAAAGAAAAATTTCTAGGCAAATATACCCCAGATATTTGGAATCTTGCAAGAAATGTGAAGGTAAGTCTCTCCTGAGGTCTATAAAGAGGATCTATCCTTCCCCAAGTTGAAGAAAGAGGAAGCTTGAAGAAAGGGCCATGTCATTGTCCCATGCAAGGTTCTACAGCACAGAGGAGGTGAGGACAGAGTGCTGTGCTTCCTGGCAGGAGAGCAGGATGAAAGAATAGAAAGAAGGAAAGAGGTGGAAAACTAGAGCCTTCTGCACAAGAATGCCAACTAAGAGGTTTTAGACCCTGCTTGCCAGGGTTCTGAGGTGGGAAGGGTCTTCTAGGTGTTTCCATTGCATTTACTTCGTGATGCCTACATCTGTAGTCTTCAAACTATAGGATATGCATGAAAAGGCTCTTCAAGAGAACTTAGATGGTGGTAATACTGATCAGGAGGTTTCTTTCCCATCTAGGCTTTCACAATTTTTTTACATACAAAATGCAACACATAGCTTTCCCCTTCCCCTTCTTCTCTTCCTTTCCTTTTTTCCTTTATTTCCACTTTCCTTCCCATCCTGAAGAACTCAGATTTAAAGATTTAGGTGGAGAGGAGCAAAGTAGCCATTTGTGCTGCCAGGGCAGGTGGTTAGGTGAAAAAGGGATGCTGCAGCCATCCACAGTGTCAGAGCCAAGTAGGTGAGGGGTGTCACTCTAGGTGCAAAGTATTTTTCTTGGCTATGTTCCATAATGTATTATTTAGCCTTATAAGTGAACAATATTAACTTAAAGGCAAGATGTCAGTTTTCCTTTCTCATCTTCCTGAATTCAGCACATTCCAACAAAGGATTTGCAAAGTATCTGAAGGAAAGTTATGCACACACATTCTCAAATAGATCCATTTTAGCAAAGAGAATACATATATACTAAAATATTTGAAAATAAATTCCATTAAAATTATTCATAATTATGAATATTAACTCCTATTTTTCTTCTAAGAATTTTCTAATTTTGGATCTTACATTTGGGTTCATTGTTTGAATTGATTTTTGTATATGGTGAGGTAGGAATTCTGTTTCATTCTTTTGTCTGTGAATATCCAGTTATCCCATACCACTTGTTATTTTTATTTTCCTATTGACCTGTCTTGGCACCCTTTGTCAAACATCAATTGACAATAAATGGAGTGTTTATTTTTGAACTCTATTCTGTTGATCTGTTTGTCTATTCTTAGATATGATACCAAAAGCACAAGAAACCAAAATAAATTAGATTGGATTTCATCAAAATTTAAAACATTTTGCTGCAAAGAATGATATTAATAAAGAAAAAAGACAACCTTCAGAACAAGAGAAAATATTTGCAAATAGAATATTTAATAAGATATCTGCATCCAGGATATATAAAGAATTCTTATAATTCAATAAAAAGATTAAAACACAATTTTTAAATGGGCAAGTGATCTGAATAGGCATTTTGCCACAGAAGATATGCAAATGACCAATAAGCACTTGACAAACACTCAGCATCCTTAGTGCAAACCAAGACAACAATGGAATAACACTTCATGTTGCCTAGGCTAGTGTCTTAGTCTCTGTTTTAAAAATTATTTTAAGTGATACATAAAAATATAAAAACTGTACATATTAATGGGGTAGCCTATAATAATTCAGTTCAAGTACACATTCTATAATGTTTAAACCAGATCAAGCATTTCTATCTCTTCAAACATTGATCATTTCTTAATGGTAAAATCATTCAAAATCTACTTTCTAGCTATTTGAAATGTTTAGTAAATTACTGTTATGCATAGTCATCCTACTGTGTCATGGCACACCAGAGCGTCTTGCTCTTATTTAACTGTAACTCAGTACTCATTGATTAAGCTTTTCCATCCCTCCCTTGACTTACTGTCCCCAGCCTCTGGTAACTACCATTCTACTCAGCTTCTGAGATCAATTTTTAATATTCTATATATGAGTAAGACTATGCATGGATTATTTAACATTATGTAATGATCTCCATAATTTCATAATTCACAGTATGAATTACATAATTTCATTTTCATTACATAATTTCACATTATGTAATAATGATCTCCATGTCCTTAAAAATGACAGAATTTCATTCTTTTTGGGGCATGAATAGTATTCCACGCTGTATACGTGCCACATTTTCTTTGTCCGTTCATCAGTTGATGGAAGTAGATGAACAAATAGGTTGTTTCAACTCCTTGGCTACGGTGAATAGTGCTACAATGAACAAGGCTGTCTTTTTTAGTCCATCTTCTGTTGCTATAACAGAATACCACAGACTGACAGATGCATAAAATAGAGAATTGAATCATGGTTCTGGGGGCGAAAAAGTGCAAGAGCATGACACCAACATCTGGTGAGGGTCTTCATATATGCAGCATCATCTCATGAAAAAGGTGGAAGGGTGACAGAGAGGGCGAGAGATAGACAACAAAGGGGGCCAAATGTTATCCCTTTATCAGGACCCTGCTCCAGTGATACTTCATCCCTCTCATGATAGTGACCTGACTTCATTCATGAGGGTAGACTCCTCTCGTGGCCTAGTAGCCCCTTAATAGACCCACCTCTCAATAACCCCATAATGGCAATTAAATTTCAGTATAGATTTTGGAGGGGAAAAATATTTAAACCATAGACATAGCTAAAATAAAAAGAAGAAAGGCAATAACAAGTGCTGCCAGAATATGGAGAGCCTGGCATGGTGGCACACACCTGTGATCCCAGCAACTCAGGGAGCCAAGGCAGGAGGATTCCAAGTTTAAGAGCAGTCTGGACAAAATAGCAAGACTCTGTCTCAAATTTTAAAAAATAAATAAATAAAAGAGCTGGGGATGTAGCTCTGTAGAAGAGCAAACCTGTGTTCAATCCCCTGTATAGGAAAAATAAAATAAAACAAGAATGTGGAAAAATTGGAACCCACATACATTACTGGTGCAAATGCAAAATGGTGCAGCCACTCTGGAAAACAGTTTGACAGTTCCTCAAAATATTAAACATAGAGGGGCTGAAGTTGTAGCTCAGTAGTACAGGGCTTGCCTAGCATATGTGAGGCACCTGTTTGATCCCCAGCACCACATTTAACAGTCAATAAATAAAATTAAGGTATTAAAAAATATCAAACATAGAGGTCCCATCTGACCCAAAAATTCCTCACCTGGAGAATCAAAAAGATATATCCATACAAAAACTTGTACATGAATATGCATAAAAACATTTTCATAATAGCTAAAAAAGGAAATAATTCAAATGTCCACCAACTTATAAATAAATATGTTATGACCATGTAATGGAATTTAAAGGAATGAAGTGCTAATACATGCTACATATGGATGAACCTTCAATGAATTATGCCAAGTGAAAGAAGCCAAACACAAAAGGTCACAAATTGGGATTCCATTTATATGATATGTTCAGGAAAGGCAAATCCACAGGGAAAGAAGATTGTATGCTTTTAAGGTGTGAATTTTATGACATGTGACTTGTACCTCAACCAAGATGTTATGAAGAAAAATTTAACCATATCTGGTGGTAATCCTTTAATAAACATGTTCAGGGTGGAAGTGTATGTAGGTATGAGTATTTTAAAGTGAAAGTGCTATGGAAAATCTTTCTTTTTCTTCCTTCAACTGACTGGTGATTTAGATGGAGCCCTGCAAAGTAGCAAAGAGTGAACATCTGTAACATTTAATCAGCTACAGCAACTGTACCTTCTGTTTGACCAAGAAAATGAATACCCTCGTGGGATTGTTCAAAATTCCAAAGAAAATTGTGCTTGGGAGTTGGCAATCTGTATGTTCTAAATTTGAGTTCTTAATAGGTAAGACTTCTAACTACAAATATGATGTACCACTACGGGAGAACTGTTTTAGAGAATCCCAAACCCCATTTTTCATCAACTCCTGAACTTTATAGAACAATAAGGCTTATTTCTGTTTTCCTTTTTCAATCATTTCCTTTGGGTTCCTTCATAAATATAAGTGGTATGAGAGAAAGACAAAGGAAATACTAGAAAAATTGCATCAGATATTTTAATCTTGCAGTGAGTTTGCATAAAAAGATTTTGGTATAAACATTTATTTGAGGAGCACTGAGATACTTTATTAAGAGTATCATCTTAGGGCTGGAGCTGTAGCTTAGTGGTAGAGCTCTTGCCTTGCTAGTATGAGGACTGGGTTCAATCCTCAGCACCACATAAAAATAAACAAATAAAATAAAGGCATGCTGTCCATCTACAACTACAAAAGAATTTTTTTTAAAAAAAAGATTATCATCTTTATCAACAGCTTCTTAGATTTATGCATGGTTTCCACAAATAGTCCCTTTCCTGCTGCTGATGGGGATCTGGCTCTGTCAGCTAAAAAGAATCCAGTTGAGTTTATTTTGCCCAATGAGATAGTTGCCATAAATTTTGTTAGTAACCTGGCATTTCCTAAACTTTCAAGAGGCTTGGATTCAGAGCCTCCCTCCAACACCCACCCCCCCTTCCCAAGATAAAACATACCAGTTGAACTTTATTCTTTTTCAGCCTACAGAATGTCTTAGGCTGGTTTTTTTTTTCATCAGATTGTCACTTAGATGGTGGTGCAAGATAAGCAGCAAAGAGTGAACATCTGTAACATTTAATCAGCTACAGCAACT